GCGAAACCAGTTCAACATACAAGCAGCAGAATCTGTTTGGCCGGTTGTTTTCCAGTCGTGGTGACACCTGTGGGCAAAATGTTGAACATGTTGATTCCAGGTAAATATATAATGAAAGAAAACAAACTTTTTGTTTTTGATCATTTATGGCGTTGTGACTTCTTTATGAATCACAGAAGGTCTTTTTCCTGATCTCTCTACTTCTGGTTGTGGCTGTGTTGTTTAGAAATGAGCCCACAGTGAGTAAAAATCACCCCGAAGCTGCTCAGAGTTCAGAGTTAAACCCTCGACGCCACGACAACAGCAGCAGAGCTCACAGGAAAACCAACGTCTGGATGCAAACTTCATGGTTAGATCTAAATAATAAGAGGAAGAATTAACCTAAACTTTTTTTTTTTCAACGTGAGCCCCTAAATGTTAAAAGACGTTTTGTACTATAATCAAAAGATTTAATTCGGCTGATTAGCTTCGAGCGTCCACTTGATCTTTTCTAGATGTTTGAAGATCAGTGCAGCAGATGGAGAAGACGCATCACACATGAACATATAAAACCACCAAGTATGAGGGAATCAGTTCAGTTTTACACTAAATAGGACGAACACAATCACAGTGGATCGTGCAAAGCTTGAGCTCTGATCTGATTGTGAACCCCTTAATAAATAAATGTCCTAATGAGAGAAGCAATTTACAAAAGACTCGTGCAGTCGTTTACTTTAGGTAAATGTCAAACAGGTAAATTGATTATTTGTTGATATAAAGTCTACAAAAGAACAATATTTATATTCTTTGTCACTTAAACATAAAGTTAATCTAACTGCAGATAAGACGGATACAAGTGCAGACGTGTTAGCAAACAGCGGAACGTGTTGTTTTTTCTATTTCAGGTTCCTTTTATGAACCGAGGACAGATTAAGCGGCTCTTTTATAAACCAGGTTTCAGATTCGACGATGCAGCGACCTGAACAAACGTATTATTTAGTCACACGTTCCCACAGACTGCACACGCTCCAGATGTCTCGCTGAAAACACCTCCGATCAGGACCAATTTACATGCAGCGTGATTCAAACATTATAAAGTTCACCGTCGCTCACACACACACACACACACACACATATGCTGTGTAAAATGATCACAGATCCTCCGCCTGAGTCCAGACCCATAAGCTGTTTGTCCCACAATAGCTTCTGAGCCTTTCGATCTATTTCCACCCGTCTGCTGCGGTGGGGGAGATCTCTCTCCTCACCGCTGCTATTTAAAGGTGCAGAATTGTTCCACATGCCCCTGGCCGCCCACTCACATGTCCACGAACAAACACATACCGCTTTAACTCCTAATACACACACACACACACACACACACACACACACACACACACACACACACACACACACGTATAACGCCGTGCTGGGTGACTCCACTTGACCCCTTGTTTTTGGGGAACAGAGGGTCATACTACACCCGCCCTCATGCGTTTGGATCACAGAGGCATTTGGGCTCTGCATGAAACCCAACACCGCTGGTATAAGCGCCGATGACACCGCCGAGGTCCCCGGCTTTCAGCCCGGTGCTGCCCGTCCCTGTTGAGGCGTAGGGACGGGTCGGTGCTGGTGATGGTCTGTGAGTTCAGGCAGGCGGCTGGAACAACATCACGTCACCGTTTTTTTTTTCTGTTACATGATTTGTTATGTCTATACATCCGACCGCCATTGTCCTTTTTTTAGTATTTGTTTTGCTTTGCGGCGCATTAGCGTTCCGGTTTTTCTTGTGCTCAGTTTACAGAAAACTGCTTCTTCCTTCTGTCGCTGCTTCCTTCATTCAGTCAGTTTTGTCGGCAGGAGGTCAGAGGTCACCCAGCTACGGAGATCTGAGTTCAGCTTTTTCATGTTTGTCAGTTAGTTATTGAACAATCCAACCAAACCCGAGGAGTGTTTCTAGTGTTGGATGATGTTTTATGTTCCTACTTTAGTATTTAGCTGATGAGGCAAAGCTGTTATTAACAAAAGGACGTTTAACCTTCTGAACCCGAAGCAGCTTCTCTTCACTTTTTGCTCTGTCACATTTTTTATTTTTCCTCGTAATATAAAGTCCTGCACATCTATGGAAGCGGCACAACCACGGCTAGAAGTAGAAAGTGTCTTTTGCACAGTATAGAGGCGTTACAATACCAATCATGATAAAAAATGTAAATAAAAAGACAAGCAAGAGTTGTATTTCTAACTTATTTTCCTTTTTTTTTTTAAATGTCATTTTATTTTACAGAAATTGAAAAACCTGCGATCAACATTGTCAATATTTTTCCACGCAGGTGTTATGAATACTGGAAATAATGTGATTCTACATACGACAGATGTTTTATTGCTTTACTCATCTCCCTTTCTGCTTTGTGCAGCCTACAGTTTAAAAGTTGTAGATTTTTTACTCCATGACTGTCGGTCGCAGCAGAGTCACTAATGGCTTCATAAATGTGTCGAGGAGTTTAGAATTATTCTATTTTCACAGAATCTGGTTTCTGCAAACGGTTTATTTTTGGTGATTTTTTTCAAATTGAGATGCAGAGTAAAGCATTTTTAAAGAAATGTCACAGGTGGATAGTTCAAGGACCGTTGGAGAATTCTTCCAGTTTCTTCATGTTTTTCTCTGGTGTTCAGAGGGATAATACACTAGAAGTTGAATGCTTTTTATTTGTCTCTGTTTGTCGACCTCTTCCCTAAAACTGATTCATGTATTTCTTTTGTCGTCTGTCTTTCAGGATTCCATCAGCGCGCTGGCTCATGACTTGAACTATCCTGCCCTGCGGAAGAACAAGAACATAGAGTCGTTTCTGAACAGATGTAAGAGCTGCAGTGTGTTCGTGTGAACCGGGTCAGAATGATGATGCTTTTAACGGCTTTATATAAAAGTGTGTTCTTGTGTCTTGATGCATGACGTTCAGGCCTCTCCTACACGCTTCATACATGAGACAATTTGCTGCAGTTGCTTCTGCAGAAGGTCACGACAGAAACATGAATAAACACGTCTGCAGTGTGGCTACTGGAGGGCTTTTGGTATTCAGATTAACTGCTGTTTGGCCATGACAGAGTTCACAGCCAAAACATTACTAACTGTTAGAGATGTGTCACTTTTGCGCAGCCTTAGTTTGTTTTCCTAATAATTTCTTTCCTCTACGTCCTTGTCTAAGACAATAAAAGCCATAAACACGCCCACACGACAGGCTGAAATGCTGCTAGTGTGACTAAAATTATTATTTCTGCTCAGCTACCCCGTTTCTAATCCTTTAACGGCTGCGGTACATGTCATCGAACTGGTAGAACTTTAGATGAAAAAAGCTCCTTCTCCTGCACAACCTTTCTCTGAACCCACGTCGTCGCAGCTTGACCTTGGGTTTTGTTTTTTTTGATCCCGGCAGATGAGAAAGCGGCGAGCCAGCTGCGAGAGCTGCAGGTGAAGCTGGAGGACTTCGATAGGGTGAAGCTGATCGGGAGAGGGGCCTACGGAGAAGTGCAGCTGGTGAGATGTTTCTGATGAATAAGTGCAGTTTTTTTTTTTCATTTTATTTGCAGCAGTGCAGTGAATATAAAGACACCAGACACCTGTGAACCACTAGAGGGAGCAACAATCTGCAAAAACACACAACATGCAACCTTGACAACTTGTTCTTGGTGTTCCAGATGTAGCTGCAACTTTTTTTCCTTTTTGCTTTCTCACATCACGGCCATCTTAACGGACTGTAGGTTTAAGGCAGCCAGTCATTCTTTGCTCTCCTTAAGTCCCAGTATTTTCCAGATGTCTGCCTCTCTCTCTCTCTCTCGGTTCGTGCTGGTAGAATCTGGTATCCGCTGAGTGTCTTGTGGCGGAGACGAGTCTGGACAGGCTCGGTGTGTGGGAGACGAGTGTGAAGTCTGGTGTGGGGGTGTGGAGGCGGGGGGGACTTTGTGTGTTTGTGCCTGAAATCTTGTGTAAGCATGTCTTTTTATGGGTGTGTACTACAATTATGGCTTGCCATCTCCGTCTGTGCTTCTTCCCTCGTGTTATCTCGGTCGCTGTGACATTCTTACGCTCGTGTTCTAATTGTCCTCGCCGAGTTATCGCTGTTTACATTCTCCTTCCTCCTCCCGCCTTCTCTCCTCCGCTCCAGGTCCGTCACAAGGCCTCGCAGAAGGTCTACGCCATGAAGCAGCTCAGCAAGTTCGAGATGATCAAGCGGTCCGACTCGGCCTTCTTCTGGGAGGAGAGGCACATCATGGCCTTCTCCAACAGCCCCTGGGTCGTCCAGGTGTGCACGCGTACGCCGAGCATTCACATTAAAAAGCACAAGAAGCATGTTTCTGGGTCAAGGCTCAGCTTGTCCCCAACACAGACCGACTGAGTTGTTGCTAAATGTTTGGCCTCTTTGGACACACACTCATTGCGTTGTACAGACTTCATTGTGTTGATTCACCTGTACAGAATGTTCAGTGTAATTACACTGATGAGGTGAATCCAGAGTTAAAAAACATTCTTCATAACCATTATTATAAAACCAAATATCTGTTTTTCTTCCTTGATTGATTGTCGTACAGCAGCGGCTTTAGGATCGGCAATCATTTTTTGGTTTTGCATCTATTTAAATCATCATATTGTGCGTTTCTGGAAATTAATTATGAGGACCTTTCATAGCTAGAATTGCACCTATTGACGGAAATCCAATGTTGAGATATTCCAAGACAAAAACATCTGCAGAAACATGAGTTAATTTAATTTGTAGATCACTCCGAAGGCTTCATAATTTATATTTTATTGTTGCGGTGTGCAGTAAAGACTGGACAATAACAGTGCACTGAAAACGTAAAACAGTGCAAACAGACATATATAAAGGAATAAATTATATCAGCAAATAAAAGTCCTGTATCTCTATTGAAACAGCACAAATATGGCAAGAACTAGAGAGACCTCACAAAGCTCCTCCATGCAGTATGACGACATTATAACGGCAAAATCCTAAAATAAGGAAAAATACAAGCTTAATTTCTTTGTTTTTTTTATTTTAGAAAATCCAACAAAGCTTGGAATCAACATGTGGGTGTGTTACCTGTAGCTGATGACTCCAGATGTTTTACTCCATCGCTTTTTAATTTATTTCCATACATGTCTCCTGTTGACGTAAACACAGCCTGCAGTTCAGCTGACAGATGACTTAACTTTTGTCATGTGACCGTCGGTTGCTGCTGAGTCATTAATAGTTTCACAGAAGAGAACAGAATGTTTTTACAGAGTCATGTTAGTGCAAATAGATGATTTCTGGCAATGTTTTAAGTAGACTTTGGATGAAATACCACGAGTTTGGTTCATTTTCCCAACAGCATGGCTCATCGAACGACTAGTTAGAAGAAAGATTCATTTTGGAAAGCTAAAAACTGGACAAGTTCTGTTTTTGCAGTTTCTGGCTCTAATGAATGGTGTCAGTTTGGCTTTTTAAAAATTTTTATTTGAAGATAACATGCTTTTCACACCTGTCAAGTTTCAGACGGTTACTCTTATAAATCCTTAATCAGTTTTACCAGCTTTACTCCCCAGTTAATGATGTGACATTATAATGTTGGCATGAAGGTGGGGATAATAATTCCTGACTGAGTTTTACTGTCTGCTGTTCTATGGAGAGGGCTGCACGGTGGCTCAGTAGTTAGCACCGTCGCCTCGCAGCTAGAAGGTCGCTGAGGTGAGGACACCCGGGATCTTTCTGTGTGGAGTCTCCATGTTCTCCCCGTGCAGTGTGGGTTCTCTCCGGGTTCTCCGGCTTCCTCCCACAGTCCAGAAACATGCTGAGGTTAACTGGTGATTGTAAATTGTCCGTAGGTGTGAATGTGAGTGTGCTTGGTTGTCTGTCTCTAAGTGTAGCCCTGTGATAGACTGGTTACCTGTCCAGGTGAACCTGCCTTCACCCTGAGTCAGCTGGGATAGACTCCAGCCCCCATGACCCTAGTGAGGATTAAGGTGTAGAGATGATGGATGAGACACAACAAACACACACAGTGTGTAGTCAGAGTTCTGACTTGTAGTCTTGGAGTAACATCGTGTGAATTTGTTCGCTCTTTGTTCAGCTCTGCTGCGCCTTCCAAGATGATCGCCACCTCTACATGGTGATGGAGTTCATGCCCGGCGGAGACCTGGTCACGCTCACCATGAACTACGACATCCCTGAGAAGTGGGCTCGCTTCTACACGGCCGAGGTGGTGCTGGCGCTCAACGCCATCCACTCCATGGGCTTCATCCACCGCGACGTCAAACCCGACAACATGCTGCTGGACCAGCACGGACACCTCAAACTGGCCGACTTCGGCACCTGCATGAAGATGGACTCGGTAGGTGGACTTTACTGATACTTTCACTGCTTTCATTTGTCAGACAACACGCCTCCTGAACCAGTTGAAACGAGAGCGGATTGCCGTTTGTGCCACAGCGGTGCGTTTGCAGGGCCTTAGTGCACCACCAGGTGTTCAGACGGTGAAGTGAAACTCTCGCAGGCTGTTTTTTAAAGGCCTCAGAGGTTATTGTGCTAAACAGCCAATCTAGAGCGCGGCAGAGGTCCCGCCTCTGCTGTGGGTCAGGAAATGTTTTTCAACCTTTTGTTTTCACCACAGCAATTTCAGAATAGCTGGTTGCACACATTGGAGCTCCCTGTAAATCTACCAGAGTGTGTGTCGTGTAATTTCTTCTCCTGTGCAAACACAAAGTCCAAACAGTCTGACTCCAGAGAAGAAGCTCCAAACAGACTCTGTACGGCTTTTATATCTGTGATTATGATGATCTGTTGTCCTCTCCCTTGTCTCACAATGAAATATTATTAAAAATCACTCCTTTTCTTTTGTGTTTCTGGTGCATCATGTTGTGTGTTTGTAGACGGGCATGGTGCACTGTGACACCGCTGTAGGGACACCGGACTACATCTCCCCCGAGGTGCTGCAGTCTCAGGGTGGAGACGGTTACTACGGCCGCGAGTGTGACTGGTGGTCTGTCGGAGTGTTTATCTACGAGCTGCTGGTTGGTAAGTGACACATCCAGTCATGCATGAGCAACACAGTGTGATTGAGTGCTTATTGTTGGCGTCCAGGACGTTGGAGTGGAGCCGCAATCACTGAATCAATGGGCTAATCAACAGCAGTACATGCATTATGTAAATCGTTCTTGCTGTACGGAAGTTGAAATTGAACACAAGCCCCCTTAGATTAGTCACTGTGAGCTCTTTTCTCTTCTCGGTTCAGTGTTTAGAAGCTTTGACCTCTGGTCCGTCTCACAGGTGAAACTCCTTTCTACGCCGAGTCCCTGGTCGGAACCTATGGGAAGATCATGAACCACCAGAACTCGCTCGTCTTCCCCGACGACGTGGAAATGTCTCAGGACGCCAAAGACCTCATCTGCGCCTTTCTCACTGACAGGTTTGCACATAGAGGCCTAACTTGTGTTTTGTGCTTTAATGGGACTCGGGAATGTTTCTCTATTTCAGGCTGCGTTGCATGTGCAGACAGCTGGACTCGCGCCCAGCCTTTTCTCGTCCTACTCTACTGTTTTCTTGATTGCTGGACTGTGTCCCGCTGAAGTGACACAGTTTGGGTCAGAGAGCAGAGCAGAGAGCAGTCACCTCGATTTCTGTAAAAAGAGAAAAACGGTTGACGCGACGAAGTTCCCACCAGCTCAGAAATGTTCATACGTTTCTTGTTGTCAACAAATCCCAGGAACAGACCAAACCCAGCATCAGAATGTGTGACTTCCAAAACACTTCCACCATCACCACCTGTGGCTTTCTGCTCCAGTCTTTTGTTTTGCCTCAACTCAACATGTAAATATCTATAAACAGGCCAAAGAAATGGTTTTATGCAGTAAAAGCATTTAAAAAATAAAATTTAACAGCAGACTAAACATGTTTTTTTTTACCACCTCGGAAACCTCAAAACACACCAGCGGGTTTGAATGTCACGTTAAAAATTACTAAAATTAAACAATTCAGTGAAGCCAGAAGCTGTGAGAACAAAAAGACTGACTGTCCTTGAACTACTCGCTGTTCAATCGGCACGATAAAACAAATCTCAGCTTAAAATCACAACATTTTGTCAAAATCGCTTTATTCTACGACAAAAATAAATAGTTTCCACTGATCATCCAGCCATCATCTCTTAGTCCTCACTAGGGTCATGGGGGGCTGGAGTCTATCCCAGCTGACTCAGGGTGAAGGCAGGTTCACCTGGACAGGTAACCAGTCTATCACAGGGCTACACTTAGAGACAGACAACCAAGCACACTCACATTCACACCTACGGACAATTTACAATCACCAATTAACCTCAGCATGTTTCTGGACTGTGGGAGGAACCCGGAGAACCCAGAGAGAACCCACGCTGCACGGGGAGACCATGGAGACTCCACACAGGGTGTCCTCACTGGGACGTGAACCGGCGACCTTCTAGCTGCGAGGCGACGATGCTAACCATCGAGCCACCTTGCAGCCCTTCCACTGATCAGATTCAGTAAAAAAAAATATAAAAAACATGGCAATCCTCAGCACAGCCAACAAGCTATTAGTGACTCAGCTGTAATCGACAGTCACATAACAGACATTCAAGGACTTGTTTGGCCAAACTGGACGGATCTGCAGATCGGAGACTAAAATGGGAATAAAACAAAATGTATGTAGTGGAATATTTGTACATGTAGATTCTAGGTTTTTAAATTTTTTGTCGTGGCATATAAACAGGATACCAGTTATTTCTGCACAAAAGACATGCCTGAGTTCAGCCTGCTTCTGGATGTGGCTGTGCTGTTTCCATAGAGATGCAGGACTTTTATATTTTAATGAAAAATGAGCCCACAGTGAGAGAAACATATGACAGGAAACTGTTTGTTTGGGAGTCAAAAAAATAAACTCGAGGGTGAGCTGAGAGAACATTTCTCCAACCAGAAAAGAAAAAGTTTATTTGGTGTAGTTTACAATACGTGAGGTCAAATTAAAAATGAACTCCGGGTTCGTTCTGATGAAGGAACATGTCGCCGAGCTCTGAGGCACAGGACTGGCTTTTCTGTCACAAACAACATTTGTTGCTTGGATGAATTCATCGTTAGTTTTGGCCTTTTCGTGGGATTTATTGACGATAACAAAATAGAAAGTATCACCAGATTTTTCCTTTCATAAAATTTAAACTCTGCCCAGTTTGCCCAGAATGATATCCGCGACTCCAACTGTTGCATAAATACAAACGGCGCCATTTTTATATTAGTAGTACCCTCAATTTTAAAGGTAACAGTTGGATGAATGGGTGTGAGGGTCTTGTTCCTGGATAGTGGCCCATCCCCCTGGAAAAACAAAAAAACACTTCCTGTTTACATTAGTAGCCCCGCCCACAGGAGGGCTCACACACAGGCCTCTTTCTGCTTCAGTACAGAGCGGCCTTTCATTTCTCCCTCGCTCAGTTTATTTACCTTCTCACTCGCTATTCTCTCACCACAGACAGAATCTGGCATGTGTGTTCGGCCGGCCAGCCGCGCACATACGCCCCCACGTATCTGCGAGCGCTGACCAATGACAGCGTTCACCACTTAACCCACATGCTCTGTCACTGTCTCCCCATGCTGCTGAATCACTCCTGTAACCACCGCCACCCTCTCCTTTTGGATTTTTTTTTTTGTTTCCTTCCTCTCCACATGTTTTTCATCACCCACCATTTGTAAAAGTTTCTTGCTTGGTGCCACTTTCCATTTCTCTGTTCTCCTTCTTTTTTTTTTTTTTCTCCTTCTGCAGTTTTCTGTGGCGCCGAGTTGGTTGCATGTCACTTAGTTTTCACGCAAATAAAAAAAAAAAAACTCTTCTCTTTCTTCTTCCTCCTCCACCCCTGCCCTCTCCTTCCTCTTGGCTGGATCTGGAATGTCCCACACGTGGCAAAGCCCAAACTGCCGCACCCCTCCAGCCCTGTACCCAGAGGTGGAGGAGGGTGAAAAAAAAAAAAAAAGGGGGTGGATGAGGCGAGAGAGAAAAAGAATGTATGTGTGGAGTGAGAGAGAGAGAGAAAAAAAAAAGAAGGAGGGAAGGTGTTGTGTTGGTGGTTGATCCTGCTGGAGCTGCATTGTCTTGGGGCTTGACTGGGCAGAGGAGGCTTCTGGGGCGCGTCCGGTGTCCACCAGTGGTCGTGCGGCTCTCCATGCTGGTCAGTGCGGTCGGCGCCGAGCGGTCACTCCGCCGGGCTCTGAGTGTTTGGGGATGACATGCTGGTGGCGGTGGTGGGGAGGAGCGGAGCGGGGGTGTGTTCTGTGTTCACGCTCAGGCGACTTGTGCTCACTTGTCTGACTGCTCGCTCCTGTCGCCGAGTGCAGGAAGGTCCGGCTGGGCCGCACCGGAGTGGACGACATCAAGCGTCACCCCTTCTTCAAGAACAGCCACTGGACCTTCGACAACATCCGCGAGAGTAAGTGTGTGTGTGTGCATGCTTTGGAACTTTAAATCCCTTGAATGCAGGTGCAGATTTTCCCCCCTTTGCCCTTTTTCAGCCTCTCTTGTGTCGCCGTTCCCTCTTGTTTTGCTTCTCTTATCATCTCCGGCTCATTCCTCCGCAGATCTGTTTCACTTCAAGCCGGAGCTCCAAGTTTATTTCCAGCTCCTGAGCCATTAAGCCTGCATATATGGGACACATGCGCTCCATACGCTCCCCCTCTCTTATCCCACGTTATGGGACGGGATGCTGTGCGGAGCGGGATGATGCATAAAACCTGCAGGATAACCGGCTGCATATGGGTGCCACTCCAGAAGCATACATTAGAGAAAATCTATAAAAGCGCTGCAGCTTTTACTGTTCAGTTTACGCCGTGTAAAATAGCAGTAAACTGTCTGAGAAGTTTATTTTTGATACCTCTTAAAGAACATACAGACGAGACACACATATCTCCATTTAGCCGAGCCCAGAGTGAAACAATACCTCCTGGTGTTGTAGATAATTACATGAACGAGCCTTTGACGAGATTATTTTTGCCGTAAAGACACTTGTTGCATCTGACATACAAGAATGTGACGCAGCCCCGTCGTTTAGGCTCGTTTCACGTGATTAAAAATATCTTAATGATTTACATTTGCAGTTTGGCAAAAAGGAAAAAGAACAAAGCATCAATGCAAAATCAGTAATAAACCCACATCTGTTCAGTACAAACTGGAATATGGGTGGAAAAGTGCTGATATGTCAAGTCAACAGATTAGTATTTAAAGGAAAGAAAAGGATCAGTAATGCAGAGTAACAGCCAAACGGAGCCACACGTTTTCTTTTCTAGGTCAAATAAACTCAGAAACATATTACCTCATGTGGTGGAAAACAGATTATTTGTTCTAACACACATCAGCATTATCAAGTTTGTGCTTCGCTGTGTTCCTCCACTCACACCACGTCATTATTTACGCTGAAGGGGGAGAAAAAAAGGGACATATTAGGAATATGAACAGCACCTCTGTGTCTGTGTATAATTACATTCAGACTCTTTTTCTTTGCCTCTCCCTCTCTCTGAGCTTCACCTGGCTCTGATTAGGACGACAGACAGAACTCCTGATCAGAGCCTGGCAGTCTGGAACACGAAACCACCGCTGTGCCACCGCTGTGCCGCTCAGCTCCCTTCATGTTTGCTCATGCCATGTCCTGTCGCACACACACGCAAACACACACACACTCCAAACATGACTCTAATTCCCGCAGAGCTGCATGTCGCTTTCTGAGTGTGTTTAGGAGTGGCGTTGCCCCCTGTCTCCTATGTTAACTGTTCGGGCCTCATCTTCCCCCCGGTTGACTTTATTAAACGCTGCAGCTCCACGGACGGACAGACGGACGGATGTATGGATGCATGGGACGGGAGGCAGCATCCTCCCCCTCCCCGGCGGCGGCGGGCGGGGCAGGCTGTGTGGCCTGTGTGGACCGGTCTAATGAGAGGGGCGCCCCAGTTTGGAGGGTTCGCTCCGGCTCTCTCACTCTCACTGTGGCCACGGCTGCCTGTCATTAGTCGCCCGCTATCAGAGAGCATTCTGGGAAGTCATACCACAGAGGCCTCCGTGGAGCGGCCCTGTGTCTCTTTCTGTCTCACCGCATTTTCTTTTTTTTTTCTTTTCCTCGTCTCTTCTTTTTTATTTCCCCCCGTCGTTTGTTTGGTCCCTGCGCTTGATCTCTCCCTGTACCATCTTCCAGTCACATTTGTCACGCTGGGGGTTGAGTCTTGACCCAATGAGCTCCTCTGCTCAGTGCCAGAACTTCCCTGGTCTGAGGAACTTGATCCATAATGGCAGCTTTTTTTTGTTGTTTTTTTTGTTTCCCCCTCTTAATTAGGATCTATTTATAGGCTAAACGGGGGTAGCTTAGTGTTATCTGATTGGCCCCCTTCACACGTTTTTGCCGGCGTATTGTGTGCAGGCTTTTTGAAGCGCCTGGCTGTGTGAGAGCAGAGCAGAAGGAGCGTTCTCTCTCCTGGCGTGGTCGGCCTCGGTTTGTGAAAGGCGCTGTGTGTGGGGCACAAAGCGAGCTCTGTACGGGAGAAGGAGTGGTGTCAGGCTCACGCCAACCTGCAGAAAACTTACTCCTACTACAAGCCAAAGTTGGCACCGAGTTTCCTCCAAAAAAAAAAAAAATCCTCAATGCTAAAAGTTTTTTTTTTAAAGCTGTCTTTTAAATTTAAAATACCTGCAGGACAAGATTTTAATCTCCGAGTGTCTCATTTGATGTAAAGCAGCTCTTTCCTCTCCTTATTTCCTCAAACCCTCCTGGCTTGCACCTCCTCCTCCTCCTCCTCCTCCTCCTTCTTCACTTCATGACTCTCTCCCTCTGTTTCTGTCTTCCAGCTGTGGCCCCAGTTGTGCCAGAGCTGAGCAGTGACATAGACACCAGTAACTTTGATGACATAGAGAATGATAAAGGAGATGCTGAGACCTTCCCTCCGCCCAGAGCCTTCGTGGGCAACCAGCTACCATTTATCGGCTTTACTTACTTCAAGGAGGATCAGTGAGTGTTTTTAAGCTGATGTTTGCTTTGCTTTTCTCTGCTGCTGCACTCAGGATTCAGCTTTTGCTAAAGTTGGCCGAGCTTTTCTACTTTTAATAATGAAACTGGGGTTTTATACAGAAGCTATTCAAAGTGTGTGAATGTGTTGCAAAGGCCGCTGTAATCTACGGAAACAGGCGTGACACCTTTAATACAGTCCAACGCCGGTCGGACACTGTTTGCCTGTTTGAGCGCCACACTGCTGCCTTGTTCTGGCAGACCCTGCTCTGCTTACGATGAATCCTGGTTTTTAAAGTTTGTTAAGGGTTGCATGCACAAAAATGAAGATTCAGCTTCCTGTATCTGAACACTTTGTCATTATTCTGACAAAATTATGGGGCTGAATGCACGAATATTGACTGATAATAACTTTGATATGTCGACCTATGTGCTTATCGGCAGTGGACGTGGGAAGTTTTAAAAATTATTAGCTGTTTTCTCAAAGCCGGTCTCATGAAAAGGGCTTCAGATTCTTTGCCCATAATGCAGCCAGAGTCATTTAATGGTTCCCAGAGATCCCAGCAATACAAGTCCACCAACATGGCTAACAGTTGGCAACCAGCTTTGTGGGTTTCTTGGATTGCTCCAAAGGTAAATCCGTGCAGATGTAAGAGGAAGGCTGGAAGATCTTCAGACCTTATTGCTTTTTTCCACGGCGCACGCTTCCAGGTTTTGTGCTCAGTGCATGAGCTTATGGGTACCGAGTGCAAAAGCTTTTTAAATGATGGTCATAAAGTCATGTAACCAGTGTTTGGATGAACAAAGCGGTTGGCATCACAGATCCGGTTGTGGCAGAAATCACTTGGTTGTAGAAAGTTGGAGCTGTGGGTTGTGTGGGATGCTGTCAGGGTTCGGTAACGTACCTCAGGTAAACTCAGCTACAGACTTTCACGGCCGCTCTTCTCCGTTTCAGACTGCTGAAGGGAAACAACAGCTGCTCTGTGGAGGAGTCCGAGGACGGCAAGGAAAGCTCGGAGGAGAAGGAGGATTGTTCGGACAGTAGGAAAGAGGTGGGTGTTTTTGTGTATGAGGTCTTTATTTTAACGGCAACAGAGGAGAGATAAAATACACAGATGATGGAGATAGATCAGAGAGGAGTCGTAATTAAAATTTCTGGCCATCTGCATTTCTGTATGTGTGAGCAGCTGCAGAAAAAGCTTCATCAGCTGGAGGAGCAGCTCGACCATGAGATGCAGGCCAAAGATGAGCTGGAGCACAAGTGCAAGTACGAGTGGACACGCACGAACACACAAAGCTGAGCGCCATTGAGATGTATGACGCTACTGACTGTACAAACATTAGTCGGCTTCATGATGAAGCGTCGCAGTCGAGCAATAAATCACTGAGTGTTTTTCAAAGTGTTTCGCTGCCGTAAGAACGAAACGGATGCATTGCGATTAATCTATATGCAACGTTTTACCTCCAGCGCACCAGCTGCTATTCATCATTATTGTTTTGGACAGAGAAACAGAGCGTCGCTGAAAAGATTGCTGGTTTCTATCAGCCCCCGAAGAGAATTTCATGTCAGGCACGTCAGGAAATATGCAGCATCGTTCAGAGAAAGCAGAAGTGACGCGTCGTCCCACCAAAGCTGAAGCTTTTGGAGATTCGATTTGTAAAAGGCAAAACTTTTAATAAAAGGCGGTAAAGTTGTGAACATTTAGATGTTGTAGAAGAAATTTTAAAACAACCCCACTGGTAGAAAGGACATTTTTTCACCTGGTGATGTGTATTTTAGTGTTTTTTTTAAATGCTGGAAGACTCACCACCATCATGGCCTCCACCTTGAAACTGCAATGTTCCCGATGACAGTCTCAGAAAAAGTGGATTCAGACTCTGGATGTTTCTTCAAACCCAAGAAACCAGTTCTGCCAAATTGGGCTTGTTGTGCCATTTTTCTTCTGGTTTGATCGTGTGCGGCTGAATTGTTCCAATGCAGCAGCTTACCACTGTGGAGATTAATTTGACAGCGTGTGAGCAGATTTGTAAGTGAGCTGGTGTGCTGGAGCTGCAGCAAATGTGGCCTGACATTACATCTAAGCCAATTTAAGGAACATAAAGATTATTTTCATGGACATAAATCTTTTATATAACTACTAATATGCAACTTTAATACACAGAGATGATTCCTTTGGGGGTTAATCGCATGCATTATGTGTAAATTTGCATAAAAACAAAGAAAAACTCTCATAACTTAGTGATTTAGTAAATTCTAATCACTGTTTTTCCTTCCCAGAAACGCCACCAACCGTTTAGACAAGCTGGTCAAAGAGCTGGACAAGGAGGTGAGAAGTTTCAGCGCTTCAGCCACGTACCAGGTGATGAAGTCGGTCAGAGTTTGTCTCCGCTCACGTTGCGTTTGTCTCGTCAGATGAACAGCAGGCAGAGAGTGGAGGCCTCGCTCAGGCAGCTGGAGAGAGAACGAGCTCTGCTGCAGCACCAGAGCGCCGAGAATCTGCGCAAGGTGGAGATCGAAGCCGACAGGAAACGCGGCCTGGAGAACGAATGTGAGCAAATCTTATCCAAATATTAGGCTCACAGCTACCAAATGTGCATTTCTGGTTCATTAGTTGTCGTATGAGTTCATTAAACTCAGAGTAATCAGCCAAACCAAACAGCGGTGTGTTTAGACAGGTTCTGTATATGTCACCTGTGAAGCTGATCGGCTCTGTTTGGCAATTACAGCTTCTTCTTTTTAAAAATGAATCTTAATGAAACTCATCCAGGGAGCCTCGTTTCTCGCTGCGTATCAATGCTCCCTCTCGTCGGATGGATTGTGCTCTATCAAATACTAAATTAACTCCGTGACTCTGCGTTTACTCATCAGTGAACAATCTGAGGGACCAGCTGGAGGATCTGAGGAAGAGGAACCAGAATTCACAGATCTCCAATGAGAAGAACATCCAGCTGCAAAAACAAGTGAGGCGGGAGCTCATTAGCATCACCCAGCATTTATCTTCACACAGCCCTCGTCTTTCCTCTATTGATCATTTCTCATATTGCTTCACTCTTTAGTTTCCCTGCCAGAAACTGTGACCAGCGTTTTGATCGTTCTTTCTGACCACGGTTTGCCTTCGGGGGAGAGAAAAAAAGTTTCAGCTCCTTTGTGTTTTTTCTTTTTCTATCTGTAGCTCGAGGAGGCCAATACGATGCTTCAGGCTGAGCAGGAGGGAGTCGGGCGGCTGAAGAAGAGCCAGTCTGAGGTGCAAAAACAAGCCCAGAGCCTCGAGGTCAGCCTCAGGGAGATGCAGGAAAAGTGCAGCCAGCTGGAAAACAGCAAGATGGAGCTGGAGAAGCAGCTGAGGGGGCTGCAGGCCGAGCTGGAGGAGGAGAAAAGAGACCGCAACCTTGGGACAGAAACTATTACTGACCTGCAGGGTGAGGCGTGGATATCTATTATTGCGTATTGAAATGCGATGAGATTTGAAAAGTTGAATTTCCACAAAGCAAAACTCTTGTCAGATCACTAAAACCACCTGATTCGTTGGTGCAGCTTTGCTTTTTTTTGGCATGTAAACGAAATGTGAGTAAACTCTTGCAGAATTGCGGCTTTAACAGTCTTGTTATGTGCACAGCCTGCTCAAAGATGTGGGAAATTAACAGCAAGCCAAAGAAAAGAGATGCAGTTATTACATTTTATTTCAATAATCACCTCTCTGGTAAACTTTAATGAGTCTATTAAGCGAATATAAAAAGGGCAGTTCGCTACCTCCACTGCATGTAATCGCATCGATCTTCAGAACTACTGCGGTAAACATCTCCTCGGTAGCAGGAAAAAAGCCGTTACACAACTTGGAGCTGGAGGCTGAGCGGGGTATTAGCTGTGAATCGTTTTTTGGACCGGGCCTTGGGAAATGTCTGATCATAGGTGGAAACATCTGCTCAAAAGGCTGCGAGTGAAGCAAGAGGCTGTGAAAGCCAAAAGCCAGAGCAGAGCCAGAACCTCTAGTTTGGAAACATGTTGGGTCCGTGCAGGGAGGCCAGGCGCTGAGGTCAGAGGGGCGGGACCAGAACCAGAACAGTGTTACCTGTTTGCAGCGATGACTCGGGATAATTTTCCTCTCGGTCAAGTTGTCTTTGTGGGCGGAGTTAAGGAAAAAGCAAAGTGTTGTTTGCATATTTTGAGGCTGGAAATGGGCTGGACCATTATGTCATGTCTGAAACCCAACAGTTGAGGTGCATTTTATTTAATTTAGCGCATGTTTGTCTCGAGACCGTCGCATCGTGTGCAGCCTCGCTCCGGACAAATTCGTCTTAATTTGCTCTGATTTCCTTTTCCCATTCCCAGGACGTATCTCTGGCCTGGAAGAAGAGGTGAAAGAGGTGAAGTCGTCTCTCTCTAAGGTCAAGACTGACAAGAAGGCGCTCCAGCAGAAGCTCACTGACCTCGAGAAGGTTGGTGGTAATTTCTAGTTACTAATTTACGGCGTGAACTCCTGAACTCCCGCAGAAAGCAGCTTTCATTTGAGAGACGCGAGGACACTAACATCAGCTCCGACTCTGTAGGAAAAAAGCAACCAAGAGATCGACCTGACGTTCAAGCTGAAGTCGCTGCAGCAGAGTCTGGAGCAGGAGGAGGCCGAACACAAAGCCACCAAAGCCAAGCTCGCCGACAAAGACACCATCTACGAGTCCATCGAGGAGGCAAAGTCTGCGGCCTTGAAAGGTGAGCGAGTGGGAGGACGACAAAGTGAAACCTGATCTGAGCGCACTGTGGATACAAAAGCAGTAGTTTGTACAATATCGAACTCATCTCACCTCACACAGAGGAGCAAAAGTACAAAGAGCAAGAAAATTGTCAGCTGTGAAAGTGAAAAATGGAAAACATGGGGAAAGAATGAGTGAAAGGGAAAGAGTTGATGGATGGAGAGGACCTTGGACAAACAGAGAATTCCAGTTTGTGCCGGTGATTTGACAGAAAACTGTAACAGACCGGCCTTTGGATAGTTTGCTGATTGTCCGTCTCGCACTCGGTCGTTTATCCGGCGCTCCGAGCAGGTTCACCGACAGCCACAAATGGTTCTGTCAATACTGCAGTATTGAGTGCGGTGTAGATCACCTTCCTGATGGCTGCTTTGCTTGTGGTTGGGTCCAGAGATGGAGGCCACGCTGCAGGAGGAGCACAGCCTGAAGCTGCAGGTGGAGGGGAAGCTGCTGCAGCTGGAGAAGGATCACTCCATGCTGGACTGCGACTACAAGCAGGCGCTGCAAAAGCTGGACCAGCTGCAGGCCCAGAAGGAGAAACTTTCCGAGGAGGTACAGTACATCTAGCTATTTAAAGAAAAGGTCATTTGCAGGTGATCTCATGTTCTGCATTTGGCCAAGACCTCGACTGAACTTGTGACTATAAACGGCGTCCAACACATGGCTGTAGCAGCTCTATAGACATGAAGGCTTTATATAGATCGCAGCGTCTATATCGGGACAAATAAATGGGTGGAAAGTGACCCAGCAGTGCAGCCAGAGATACGAGAATCCCAAAAGATTAGCTCAACAAGAGGAACAAAAAAAAAAATGTGTAAAAGTATAAAAATAATTAAAGAACTGAGTGGACCTGAGCAGATTTGAGAAGGAAAATTAGCAAAAAAATTCTGGATATGCAGCAGAATAAACTAGAATGATAATAATAATAATAATAACTGAGCAGATTTGAGAAGGAAAATTAGCAAAAAAATTCTGGATATGCAGCAGAAATATGCCACCAAACGCAAAGTATAATAATAATAATATTAATATGGACAAGTAGTGTTGGAAACAGTAAATAGAAGATTGAAATGGCTGCCTATAAGTATGGCTAGCAGTTTAAATTAACTAACAGTAAGCTATAACTGTTTGTTAAATATAATGGAGTTATGTTGAAGCAGTTTTCTGAAATTGTGAATAAACAGTCAGAGATTATGAGCTACACATGTGGGTAGCTGTTGAAATAGTTTGCAGAAAGTGAATAAAGAACTAAAACTGCCAACTAAACGTATGAATACACATTTGGAAATGGTTTGGGTTAACAGTTGAAGGCTAAAAGTAGCAGATAAATATAAAGATATAGATTTAAATGAATACGTATAAACAGACTAAACTGACCTAAACATTGACATATTTAAAGAATATCCTTTTTTTTCTGACTTGAAGAAAAATGACAACAAAAAAAAAAAAAAAATCTCATTTCTAATGTTTTGGTGAGAAAAAGGCTTCGATTCAGCCGTTTGTGCACAAAAAGTTTTTAAGCTGTTCAGCTGGTGACAGATTCTCAACCACAGAGAATCCACGCTGCTCAGGTGTGTCCACAACTCAGCGATTTGTTGTCCAAGAAATGCCTTCAGACGGCGTCTTAAGACAGACGGTGGTTCGCCAGCTGCACAGCGGCAAACAAGACAGAACTCCAGAGGATCACCAGAATGGCTGAGAAGGTCATCGGGTGCCCTCTGCCCTCACTGGAGGACCTTCATGGCTCCTTCTGCCTCAGAAGAGCCAACATCCTGAAGGACTCCTACCACCCGGGCCACTTCCTGTTCGAGGACAGGGCCATCAGAACCAGGACTAACAGACTGAAAAACACTTTTTTTTCCAACTGCTGTCAGAGCCATAAACGCCTCCTTGTCACAATAAGTGCAATAAATTGTAAATATACAAAACCTCTGTCCAGTAGCCACTCAGTGCAACACACACTGTGCTTATTATTTAATTTCATCTTTTTATAATGGCTTTATTTTCATGTGTTTCATTGACTTTTTAGATTTGACAAAGCTGATTAGTTACAGGTCCAATAAGTTGCTTAATTTCTCCCTAAACGTCTAACTAACCCACCACCAGTGTGATCAACGGCTACATTTGCATGCATGTGTGCAGGTGAAGCATCTCACCTTACGCCTGGACGACGAGATCCACAAGCGGAGTTTGAGCCAGAGCGATCTGAAGATGCAGAACCAGCAGGTGTCCGTGCTCCGGTCCTCAGAGAAACAACTCAAACAGGAGCTCAACCACCTGCTGGACCTGAAGCAGGTCCTGGAGAAGCAGAACAAGGAGCTGCGCAGGTCAGCTGAACATCTTCATCACATGCAGAGCAGCAGCAGCAGCAGCATTTGTAAATGTTGTAACACTGTTCTGATTTATTTTAGCTGATTTGAAGATGGTGCTTTGGCTGCGGCGCTCAGTTTGCCTGCAGCAGTGATTGACAGATTATTGGTGCCGTTTCAGGGAGAAGCAGGAGGCTGACGGCCAGTGGAAGGAGCTGAAGGACCAACTGGAGGCAGAGCAGTATTTCACAGTAAGTGTTTCTTTTTTGTGCGTCTTGTCTGCAAAAAAAAAAAAAAGCAGTGACAGCCAAATATTTGAAAGTCAGCACAGCTCACATAAATTGTCAGCCTAGCGACAAACATGATTTATATTTAAGGCCTCGCCGCTTGAACACAAACCTCCATAATGACTTTTTTGCCTCTCGCATGTATCCGTTGTCTAAGTGCAATCTGAAGCTGACTGACTCTGCGTGTTGTCTTCATTCAAGACCCTTTATAAGACGCAGATCCGTGAGCTGAAGGATGAGCGCGACGAGAGGAACAAGCTGTACAAAGAGCTGCAGCAGCGACTGGTGGAATACCAGGAGGAAAGGTAACCGCTGTGGTTCGACTACCAGCTGACTCTTTATACTGCCACACAATGCCATCAGGTCCTGAACAGTACGAGCTTCACACAGTATAGGAAAGAAAAGAACCAAAGAAACGTCCAACTGGGAGCATGAATGTAAACGAGGTGCACACGTACGTATCTTTAGAAACTGTAAAATGTCAGTTGAATATGTGTAACACTATGAAGTCCATATTATCTGTACTTCTTAGAATGCAACAGACGTCCCAGATTCGTGCTATGTGCCCTCAGTGAATTCATGTCGCAGCCAAAAAATGTCATAAATGAAGTTGGAGCAGATCAGCGGGAGTCCCAGTAGCACTGTGATTACTGTGGACAGGCTGATCCTCTGTAGCTCGCACTTGGAAAACGCTTTAAAACCCTGCAAAGACAAAAAGGTCACTGAAATATTAATGCACGGTCACAGCATCGGCAGTCCATTTCTGGCTAGTAACACGACGACAGCAGGGAGTTGGTGCGTCTCAAAGATTTACCCAGTTCTGGCGAATTAAGCACGGCGATGACGATCCGCTCGCTCTCTCTTCGGCTCCGCAGGGATTCGCTGACGTCTCAGCTGGAGGCCAGTTTGACCAAAGCCGACTCGGAGCAGCTGGCTCGCTCCATCGCCGAGGAGCAGTACTCGGACCTGGAGAAGGAGAAGATCATGAAGGAGCTGGAGATCAAGGACATGATGGCGAGACACAAGCAGGAGCTCGGCGACAAGGAGGCCACCATCAGCTCGGTGAGATCAGATCAGACGTTAGCGGCTTCAAAACAGGAAGTCTGTTTTCTGTTTATAGTAACAAAAAAGGTTTAACTTTGAATGTGTCCTTGAGCTCTAAAAAGATCTATTAACCCTCTGAACCTCCTGTGTGTTTGTTGTTCCTGGTATATTTTTACTCAGTGTGGGATCATTTTTCCCTGCGATATAAAGTCCTGCCCCTCCATGGAAACACTTCAGCCATGACTAGAAGTAGAGAGAAGAGAGAGATATTTGACTACTTACATTTTGAATTAGTTTCCATTCGTCTCTCCTATCTGCTCTGTGTAAACACAGCCTGCAGTTCAGCAGAAAACATCCTGAAACTGTTGGTCACAGCTGGTCACGGCTTATTTTGTCGAGACAAATGAGAGGGATGTTGATGAATTGTCAGGTTTTTAAACTTGGATTTAGATTAATGTCCTGACTGAGTAACAGATGAGTACCTACAGGACCATCAAATAGTGAAAAAATCGTTTTGTTTTTACAGTTTCTGGCTGTGATAAACTGTGATTTATGCATTTGAAAAAAAATAAATAACAAGCCTTTCAAACCCACCAGTAGGTTTTGGGATTCAGATGGTTGAATTAATTTCTGTCCTGAAAAATCAGATTGAAAAGTCGATATCTATCTATCTATCCATCCATCCATCTATCCATCTATCCATCTATCTATCTATCTATCTATCTATCTATCTATCTATCTATCCATCTATCCATCTATCTATCCATCTATCCATCTATCCATCTATCCATCCATCTATCCATCTATCCATCTATCTATCTATCTATCTATCTATCTATCTATCTATCTATCCATCTATCCATCTATCCATCTATCCATCTATCCATCTATCCATCTA